CACTAAATTAAATCCATGTTGGCACTATGTTAATCCCAAAAATGAGTCCAGTTTAAATTTAGTTATCTTAAATTTGCATTGTTTTTCAATAGCGCGAACCTAATTGAGGTATCATTACTCTAGATTTATTTCTGCTTACACTTTGATCATGATTTTTGTTCATAATTCATGGGATCTTTTTAATTGGCATGGGATTTTATGGTATGGGCGATTTTTATACAAGGGAGCTTTTGGTATGGTATCTTTTGTCATGGGAGCTTTTGGTATGGTATCTTTTGTCCTGACACCTGGAAATCATAGAGCTACCGCCAAGGTCGAAGGATGTTGTAGAACTCTAGGTGAGAGAATAATTTCATGCGCCTTTCAGAGTCAAAAACCTTCCTTAAAAACGAAATTGAAAGAAATTGTTTAGCATTCGGACAACTCGTCAATCAAGCAACGGGCTCATTTTGCTAAAAAGCCAAATACAGTATGGCATACAGTTTTTTGCATTGCTTCATCTGCAAATTTGTACTGGAAAAACGTCATATTCTCGTAACTACTAGGCCGCTTACCAATTGAGTTAAAATGAACACCATTGCCTCTGCATCCTTGGGTCTGGGGTTGTCAGACCTTGTTTTTTCAGTATGTATGAAATTTATTTTTTCCCGCATAAAATGATTTTTGGTCAGCTTTTTGCCTGTTGTTTTTTTGTCGGCTCAGTTGCTAATTCATGCTTTTTTGTTGTAAATAATTCTCAACGTAGTTGCAAGTGCTGCAGCTAAGGTTTGTAATTTGCAAATCTCTAACCCTGACTTGTAAGTTTTCCTTCTCATTTTGTAGAACCTTTCTTTCTTAGAAGCTTCGGCCAAAAAGATTTGGTTTTATGTTCTGTCGGCTTCGTTAACCTATTTTGTATTTTTGGGGCGAAATTCGATTATATTTATAAAAATAAGTCAGGTCAGTTTTGATGCAAAAATAGTAAACTCACGCTTAATCGTGCAAAGTTTCTCAATAACTTCTCTTAGGTTTTTCTGGCTCAAAGGGCGTGCGCTGACACGTTTTTGGTTTAGTAGCCGCTTGTAAAATTTAGAAGACTAATTTATAATGGTGTTGTTTGTGTGTGTTTACACTGTTTTTCCAAAATTGAACGTTTCTCCATAAAATTCTATTTTTATTTTTTACTACTAATGTCTCATTTTCTGTTCGCTCGCTTGCACTGCTACGATTTTGCTGTATTGCAACTAATGCGAATATTTACTTGGCATCTTTTATACTTACTAACTGCATCGTTGTTTACTTTAAAAGTTTTTTTAAGAGTCGATGAACGTAGTTTATAGGTCGAGATGGTTTTTTTTCAGGAAACAACTTAAAGTTTGTTCTGACTAAAATTCAGTTTTAGCGGTTTGACTTTCGATTTGCTTGAAGTTCAGTTCTTTTCTTTTGTCAAACGGAAGATAAACTCCACTATCGAACAGCAATTGTGTAAAGGGCACTAAAAACTTGATCGACTTCTAGACTTAGTTGAGTTTTCTCAAAGTGGTTTAATTTTATCAAAAAGTGCTGGTCAAAAACTGTTCCAGAAATTCAAAGTGCTTTAAGGACATCATTTTTTGAAACTAAAAAGTGTAAGAAATTAGAAAATGTTTGTTTTCTTTGAAATAAGAAATTGGAAAGTTTTTTAAAAACTTTTTTTCTATTTACTTGCGTTCACTTACTCTTGTCTGTTGGCTATATTTCAAAAAAGCAAAAGATAATGAACGAATTGTAAGACTTGAAAAAACATAAATCGTGTCGTCTTCGTGCTTATAACTTATTCAGTCTCTCAAATACTGGCTTTTTGAAGTCCAGTCGCACTTACTAGTTATCTTAAAAGCTCGATTGACCTAAAGTTAAAAGTTTCTCGCTCGATAGGTTGGTTGTGTTTGTGGATTACCGATATGGCTTGATAGATGATTTCGAAGCATTCTCTTGTCGCCGATGAAAGGTTTTGAAAATTCTTAGTTGCAGGGCATCATGGCGGAACGTTCTTTGATATTGTACTTAGCTGTACTCCACGTGTCGAGTTTGGCGTAGAAGTTTTGCTTTTTACAGATCACAGAGGAATTGAATACCGTTCTGCTGAGACATTAACACAGATTTTTTTAAACTTAAATATTTATTGACTGAAACATTGAATTTCTTAAAATAATGATTTAGAAATGACGGGAAGTTTTTTGTTTCTGTTTTATTTACCAAACTTAACTTTGGACAGCATGCAAGTCGTTATCTAAAGTTTTTAATTAGATTAATCAAAACGAAGACAACAGAAAGTTGCAGTCAAATTAGTTGAAAAATTGTCATAAATTTTATATCTTTTGGTATATGCACATTTTAAGCGTGATTCTGTACATTTTTAGCGTGTTTCAGATGTAGTCGATTTACACATCGGGGACCACTGAAATGATAAAACCATTTTTGTTCCAATCATTGTGTTTTAGTTTTTTCTTTTTGTTTTCCACGCCTAATCAGATACCCCAAAAAATCATCGTACTGGGTTGAGTGATGAATCATATTAAATCCCTTATAGTTTTGATTCGAACGCTCTTTCAAATTATTTTTCCCAATGTCCATAAAAACCGGTTTGAAATTTTTTTTATTTTTCGGCTTATTTCGAGCGAATATGGCGAGCGAGCAGTCTTGTTTTAATTGATTAAAAGCTTACAGTATCTTAATTTAAAACGTAAGAACTACTTTGAGTATTTCAGCGCCTTTTTGGAATCTAGATTCTCAAATGTTCAAAAAATTGCGAAACTTGATGAAAATTTATAAAATTTGTTTTCGATTTTGAAGTAATTTTTCTACAAAAATTGTTTTTCAATTTGCTTATTATACTATGACTCTCGAATATGCCTAATGTCCAGTTTTTTGTTCAGTCGAAAAAAAACAATAAAAATTGGGAAAAAAAACTATGGTCGGAACATTCTGTGCTACTTGCACTGTAACCGGCTATCATGGTTAGATATTTGATTTCGTTTGCGACAAGTATATGCGTTAGTTAAACAGCATGATCTTGTTATTTCTTTTTAAAGCGCTTTCTTTGCTGGTTGATATCTAAAAAAAAAACAGACATAATCTTGAACCCAAGAGACCATATATAAGTGGTTACTACCTTTAACTTCTGATCGGGAGGCCCGAATAGGGATCACGTTTTTTTTCGGGAAAAAGTAGGGATCCCGTAGTCTCATAGATTTTTGTATGTCGAAGTTGATTTTCTGTGGAAGTTTTTTTGCCCTTGTGTACAAATCAGTAATGGCAAGTTTACAAATGTATACATGATGGTACGCAACCGATATATTATAGTGAGGATCTTTTAGCGATAACTTGAACTGACGCCTTCGAAGCGAATTTTTTGCATTACCTAAGTCTGCAAGAGATTGATTTGTTTCTAAATATATATTTTTATATTTTACGTTAATCAAGCTTCTAAGTTAACTAGATTCTGAGGATGGACGTCAAAAAAATAGCAATTGGGAGACTGATTAAGCTCATATGAGAGAAGGCATTTTTCTTTCAATTGAGTCGTCTGGTTTTTACTATTTGTTCACTTCCTTTTGCTTTTTGAAACATAGCCAACAGACAGTTAGACAAGAGTCAATGAACGCAAGTAAAAAGAAAAAACTGATTTTTTTTTTAAAAAAGCTAACTTTTTCATTTCAAAAAAATAGATGACCTTAAAGCACTTTCAATTTCTAGATCAATTTTTTTCTAGCACTGTTTGATAAAAGTAACCTAATTTGAGAAAACTAGATCAACGAGTAACTTTTTTTATTTCAACAGGAAATCAGAAAATTAAATTTCTTTTGTGAAACTAGAAGTCTATCACGCTTTTCATGACCTTTAAACTTTTGCTTTTCGAGTAGATTTTGCCTTTTTAACAAATGAAATGAATTGAACTTGAAAAGAAATCAGTAGTCAAACCACGAAGGAGTAAATTTGGGCCGGAACAAATTTTAAAGCGTCTTCCTAAAAAAAACACTAAAATTTTTTATCGCTACCTATATAAGAGTCTGAACGACGTGCATCGACTCTTTATAAGACATTAAATCTAATCCGTCATGTGTGCCAGTCTGGAGGAAACCGTTTTTAGCATTTGCTAAAGTGACTTACACAAAGCATCCTTTATTTATCTCTAGTATGTAAAACAAGACTGCTTGTATAACAGGGCAAATCTCTGAATGTTCCGACTGCCCCTTAATCCATATCGAATAGTTTTTTAGGAAAAGAAAATATTGACAACCTATAAATTTTGGACAATATCAAAGTGTGAAAGTTTGAGACTAACAAATTTAATGCGACCGACTATCTAACCTCAATTCAATTTGGAAAGTTTTAAGTTTGCGGAATAATCCGCTACTCATAAATATTTCGCGTCACGCTTTCATGATCATGGATAAAATCCGCAAAGTGCGCATAAATTAGTCCAAAGCATGGCCTAATTGGCAATTTTCAAACTTCCAGAACTTTGCAAAAAATGACCGGTGGTGAAATGCATTTTTAAATTTGTCTTTTTTTATCTAAGGGAGTCAATATTCTCAATGGGGCATAATTTGTTGTTAAAAACGCTTATTTCCATTGCCAAAATTGACCAAATAAAAAACACACCAAGCATAAATATTCCGTTTTCATCGAAAGTCGGAACAAAAATTCTGCAAATTACTTATTCCGGTTTACAGTTATCCGGTTAACACTTTCAGCCAATTGAAGTTGTGAATAATTTTTGAAACACCCGGTAATTGTTTGTGAAATCAAAAACAGGAAAAGATCAAAGAATGTTTGCCGTGTCGTGAATTCCACAAATCGGTTTTCAGCTTGTTGCTTAGTCCGCTTTAATTCAATCTTATATAAAGATTGTCCCGTCATTTTTTATCTTTCTTACATAAAAATTTAGACATGATGTTTTAAGTGTTACAAAGCTTACATTTTTTTACGTGAAGTATCTACGTAGCATCTATTCTAATATATCACCTTTTAATTTATAGCCTCAACTCGGAAAAAAGGCAAGTAATTTTGAATATTGAAATCCATGTTACCTGTCTTCTGTTAAGTTGCGGAAATATTATCTGCTTCATTCTTAATATTAGAATTGATATTAGACTAAAAGTAGCCAAACATAGCTATAATCGAAGGTGAGAGATCAAAGATGGGATCTGCTTTAAAATCCGGATCACGGATTTTATCCATGATCCGGATTTTATCATGATCATGGATAAAATCCGCTTTGGCTTACCAAAGATTAAAGATTGGCTTACCAAAAATATCTCATTTCTAAAAATCGCATCGGACATATAATCTTCAATCAGGCCATTCTAGTCTTTTTCTTGATTTAATTGATGAAGTAGGTCCCGATTTAGATTGTGAAATAGTTTTAGTGTCTGTAAAAGTGTAAACAGTTTTACGTACCTGCATATGGATAAAAATTTCCTCCTCAGGATTTATGCGCCAAATGACCCTGCTTTGGCACTATTTTATGATACTTATTTTTGGTAAGCCAACCATTTTTTTCTAATGACGCCGTAGGTAGAGCTGATTTTATGGGAAGAGGGATAAAAGTATTCAAAACAAGAAGGTCCACAACGCCCTTTTTACTCCATGTTCTGCAAAAATGGTCAAGGGAATATTGATTTTAGGCTTTTTTGGAAATCCGCTTCCTCAAAAATTTCACTAAAGAAGGTGTTGTCCCCCCATCCTTCCACCCAAAGGGAGTAGGAAGGAGCAATAACGTAGGATGTGTGTTCTTCTGACCCATTTTGGCTGTCTTAAAGAATCAAAGAAAGTTCGTATGGGATCAAGTGTGGTATCCTATTAAAGAATAATTGACCGTGATTCCAACCTCAGAAAATCACAAAATTTGTCTGTGTTGAAAAACTACACTGAATACTTGGGTTTCAAAACTAAATTAGACGAATGTTGATGAGAGGTTGACCTCCAAACTTATTCATTTCCCAATTTTAACATTATGTTTCTTCTAATTCTTGCAGTTTTTCATCAATGTCAGTCCTTAAATGAAAAAAAATACTAATTCAAGTCAAAAATTAATTTGTAAAATTTTTTTAAAATAGCTCAGAATGTTCCGACATCATTCATAAAGAAAATAAAAAAAGGTTTTTAAAGAGTCATTAATGTGATGAATACTTATGTATTGGTCTTGGTTAATTTTTGTTCCGACCATTTGAAAAATGTATTCGAGTGTGTTTTAGTTTTTTCCACGCAAAATCAAATAATCATCGGAATGGGTTATATATCATTTTAAAGCCCTTTCAGTTGATTCGAACGACATAAAAACCGGGCTCTTTTTTCCTTTTCCCCCCAACTCACACGACCTTCAATATGTTAGTGTAACGAGTGGTTTTACGAGGTTGAGTATGAAGACCATATATGTTTGTCGTGGCCATATTAGTCTGTATGTAAATTTTCATAGCAATCGGACAATGTGGTCAACAAATTCAAAAGGAAAAAGAGCCGAAAACCGATTCGGAGAAAACCGATTCAAAGTTTTTGATTTTAAAGAGTCGATGATCGTAGTTCAGACTCTTATAAGGTCGCGATAATTTTTTCCGTTTTTTTTTAGGAAAAAGCCTTCAAATTTAGTAACAACTTTTGAATCCTATTGTTAAATTTTCAAATAACGAGCGTTAAATTTTCAATCTCTTTTACTCACTACTAGTCTCGAAACTAGACTGAAACTCGTTTTAACCCGTCTTTCAAGCCCGTTTTCTGCGACACTGGGAGATTTTTAAATGCCATTCGAATCACGACTGAGAGGGGGCTCCAAAATGATATATCACGTGGTCGATTCTGATGATTTTTGTAGCACCTGATTTTCCGTGGAAAACAGAAAGAAAAATCATAAAATACACTCGAATACAAAATTTTCCCCCATTTTTGATGGTCGAAACAAAAAAGTTGTTAATAAAAAAAATAATAACACCTAAACTGTTTTTCGTTTGCGTTTAGGACCAAAACTGGATCAAATGCAGGGCTCTGGATGGTCGTGTTGGTCTTGTGCCAGTCAATTATATCAAAAGAAGGGATCCCGTCAAGTTATTTAGCTACTCGTAAGTTGTCAAAAATTTCATCACAAAATGTTTTAGATCATTTTTAACATGCCAGACTAGGTTTCAAGGTTTAAAAGCCCTAGAGATTCTTAATTTTTTTCTAGATGAAATGTTTTCTCGACAAAATTCTTCGAAAACTGATTAATTTACAGTTTGATAATTATACTTTATACTGATTCTGTTCTGATTGTATTGGATGTTTAAGGTGGTTCCACGGGAAAATAGAGCGAGAAGCGGCTGAGGATCTGTTGAAAAGTGCCCCTAGAACAAATGGTAAGTATCTGGTGCGAGAGAGCATACGCTACGAGGGGGACTTCACTCTCTCCCTCCTTACCTTGGGCGACAACGATGAGCCCATAATCGACCACTACAGAATGCTGCGCAGCACCGAAACAGGTACTCAACATAAGTTCCAAACAATTCGGACAGACTGAAGAATTAAAAAGAAAAATTCAAATTCAAACTTTTGTGCGCAATATCAGATTTTTCTGAGATAGGAAATTTTCGTTCAACGATCAAAACCTTTGCTTTGTTTTTGGTGCGTTTTTGATTTTGCGTTTAAAATCGTGACGAATCCTCATTCGATGATCTTTTTGAAATGAAATTTTTGAAGTTTATTCTGTTTAGCTATTGATATAGATGTAGAGCACTGGAAACTTTCCTGCTACGCTGAGTCTTTCCTGCAATTCAGTTTTTCATGAAGTTTTAATTTTCGCTAATTGTTTTTGTACTTTGCAAATACGTATGTCCAAAATTTCAGATGCGTTTTTAGCCATGCCAAAATGAATTTTAATTTAAAGTTAATAATTTTGGTTTTTATGAATTTTCGACAGTTTTTGGAGTAGAAAAGTAATGTTCTGTCCGTGCCAGTCAGTTAGACGATCTGTGGAAAATCGTAGTTATTTCATTAATATTCAAGCTGATCAAATTTTGCAATAAGTGCATGTAAATTTTGACTTGAATTCCCTCATTATGCGATTCGACTTGATGTCCGGAACCCAAAATATAAGTAGGGAGAATGGGAAAAAGGGCCGAATTGGTGGAATCTTGCTGGTGGAGGCACTTAATGATAAAAGAAATCAGAATTGAGTATTATTTACACTTGCGATTAACAAGAATTATCAAATCGAAATGTAGACTTTTTCGGATTAACAACTTGTTTAACACAATCAGTTGAATCACTTATAATGCTGCTATGCTGTTGACTTGCTCAATTTTCTGAAAATTAAATTTTAACTACTCGTCGGGTACTAGTTACTACAGGGTAGTTTCAGTGGGGACTTGAAATTTTTTTGATTAAATTACAAAATCAGTTTTTTTTTCGGCTCAACTGGTGTCTTCACAAAGATAGTCGATTTCGTAAGATTTGTTCAGTTGCTAATTTGAATTTCAAATGTCTTGCCTTCCATTTTTGTCTTGAATTCCTGTTTGATAAAAACAGGTATTTGGAAATTACTAGGATTGGGTTTTTTATTTTATTTTTTTAGACGCTTTGCCAAAAAATTTAGTTTTTTTTTTCTTAAAACCCGTTTACCGATTTTCAGAAGAGATATCCATCAAAAGACCGCCTCATTCCGGTGTGCTTGCATACTCCTCTGGTAGTTTTTTGCTTTACCCCTTTGTCTGTTATGGGAATATTTGACCGATTTTTTTTTCAGTTTCTCAAAAAGTAACCTACCAAATCTGAGATTTTGGTTTCCATGAATAGAACGATTTGAAGAAGTTTTTGTACATAAGCGGCTCAGCCAAATTTTTTTACTCATGAATTTATGGCCCTGGGATTAGTCAAATTGTTTTCGTTTTTGAATCTTTTTAACTTTCTCGAAAACTTACGTCCCATATCTGAAGTTGTGGGTTTGATGGAGATAGCGGGTAGTAGTCAGAAGTTCCCCTGCATTAGCAGCCACTCACTTTTTTTTACGCAAAAACTTATCATCGGAAAAGTCAGTTTTTGAGCGTTTTTTTCTCTAATTTTTATGAAAATTACCGAAAAATACCCTCTCACGTCTGAGATGTGTTCAATCTTAAGTTGGAATCATTGTGAGCAGCTCCTTTGCATGTGCGACTACGAAAAAATTCTTAAATACTAAATTTGATGTAAAGGAACAAGATGATAGTTGTAATATTTGAACATTTGGCTACCGCTGCTTATTGGACCGAGTTCACGGTGAAAGAAATGTTCAATTGGTGATTAGGTAAAACCTTCATAGACGAGGAGCATCAATTTTTTCACATTGTGGAGCTGATCAAATTCTACTGCAAGGAGGCTAACGGACTGGCCCACAAGCTGACCAAGTCAGTGGACACGAATGAGGCCAAAATCAAGGTCATCAAGAGCGACTTCGAGAAACACAACTGGAGGATCAACAGGCGAGACGTAAAGCTAGTCGAAAAAGTGGGACAGGGAGAGTTCGCAGGTACGAGTTCATTGAGTCATAATCAAAACTTGGTCATCATTATAATTGGCACATCGTCGTAACTTTTTCTCGCCTTTTTCTATACCTCTCGAAAAACGTTTTCTCCTCATTTTTCGTGTCATGGTTCTGTTTCCTATATCTTTTCGATTCAATTTATCAGAATGAATTCAACCTTAGTTTATTTATTTTAATTAAAGTTCGAAGTTATGCATGTGACGTATCAGAACTTTCACTAACCATCATGGTGACTATGTTGTGGTATAGATGTGTGGCGCGGTGAGCTGCGTGGGAACACAGTGGCAGCGAAACAGATCAAGAAACAGGGTCAGGATGAAAGCGAGAAGATCCTGGCTGAGGCCTCCATCATGACTGAGCTCAAACACCCCAACCTGCTCCGGCTGGTCGGAGTGGTCACAGATGACCCCATCCTAATGCTAGTCGAGTACTGCGACAAGGTGTGTGTTGTATCCATTTCATATGCTACTAAGTCACTTCAAGTTTTTTATGAGTGCAATTCCTAGGAGTTGCATTCGCAAAGTTAAAAATACAGCTACTAGTGCTGCATGGAAAAAAATGTAACATATACGTATCCATTATTTTGAGCTTAAAAATCTACTTTTTAGATTGATTGAATCTCTGAAAAGAGATTTGCTCGCTATTTAGGAAATCGATTTTCTGTTTGTGAGAGCCTCAATTCACTCCAATCTGTCTCCGGCGTGTTAATATTGCTTAAGAATAAGTTGTTTACAAGCAGAGCGTAGCGTGGTAGTACAATGCAATTTTTCTAACCTAGCTTCTAAATAAAAACGCTCATTTGGTGGAACTCTTGCTATGATCAACATCTGTAGCGTTGGAAATATCAAAGCATCTGTTCTCTGCTTTATTTTTGGCTTTTTTGCCATTAGTCAAGCATCCGTGGCTCAGAGGGAAGGACGTGACATTACGAAGCTACTTTGTGGAGGTTGAAAGCCGCACTTAGCACTGGTTATTTTAATATTTGTTAGCAATTTTGCTGCATAGCATTGGCTATTTATTCGCATCTGTATCATTGGCGGCTAGTTAAGGAAATTTCTTATGGACTTTGGATGAGAAAACGGGACAATCCTAGTCTCTAGGTCGCAGGTTCGAATCCGTCAGATAGCAAAAGTTTTGCTATTTCAAGGCTTATTTTTTTCTTAATCTTAATTCACGTTTTGAAGCTGCTTTTTGTTATTTACTCGCTTGTGTTTGCCAAATGCAGCCTAGCCTTCTGTTGCAGTTAAGACCCTTTTACATTTGTTAAAATTTTATTTTCTAGCTAATTGGTTTTAAACAGTGTGAGCTAGGGCAAATTAATTTGGTCGCGTTTATTGCTGCTTGATTTATAGTTTTCTGTTGAAAATATTAAAAAGTTCTAATTGGACAAGCGAGCCGTTAAATTTGGTAAAACTGCTTCAATAACATTTCATAACATTGGAAATTTCTTAGCATATGTAACAGTTTTATCTGTGACTAGTGTTTGCCGGTTGTTAAGAGTTCGTGGCCGAGTGGGCAGGGTATGCAACTCCAATTCTCGAGGTCTCATGCCCGTACAATTCCAGGCTCATTTCTAACTTTTCTTTCACTTTTGAGAGCTGCTTTTCGTCGATTTCTCGTTTGTGTTTGGGAAGCGCAGCGTCGCATCTGCGCTTAATTTTGCATCCAGCTTTCTGTTTTTCAATTTCCGACTGAAACAGTGTTTATTTTGTTTCCAAATTCAGTTTTTCCATTGATTCTCAAATTTCGTTTCTAATTTTCAAATATCTTAAAATAAGAAATTCATTTTTGTTCCGGTTTTGCGCGTGGGAGCTAGGGAACCTTGTGTTGTATTACAAATCTTTTTTTTTCTAACCAAACTCGCAATGAAAACTGCTCATGCCGATACGCGTTCCTTTGATTTTTTAGGTTTTAAAGTATTTAATTTTAATTCTAATTAAAAACGCCTGTTTAATTTGTTCTCAATTGTATTTTTATAAATGTTATTTGCGCTCAAATTTGTGTTTAGTATGCGTTTTTTCACTTGCGAGAGCAAGTGTACTTGTAATCGGGAACTAGATTTTTTTCCCGTAAACAACTTTTCTTACAAATGTACTATTAAGTGCTGCTACTTCACCTTGAAAAGACTGCAGCAGTAGGAAGTTCACATAAACTACCTTTTAGTTCATAGTAGTTAGTAAACAATTTTTTCAAATAATCTTGTTGAAAAAATATATATTTTTTCGGATTCGTGGCTATTGTCCTAAATTCGATAGGTTCATTTTTGAATTTGTTAGAAAAATAAAGATAGTGTATCTCTATTTTTCCAACAAAGATAGTGTGAAGGTCATAAAAACGTGATCGACTTCTAGTTTCGAAAAGGAATTTAATTTTCAGATTTCCCATTGAAATAAAAGTTTAACTTATTGATCCAGTTTTCTGAAATTGGGTTAATTTTATCAAAAAGTGCTAAAAACAAATTGTTCTAGAAACCCTTTAAGGGCATCTATTTTTTTTTAAATTAAAAAGTTGCAGTTTTTCAAAAAATAAGTACGCTTTTTGTTTACTTGCGTTCATTGATTTTTTCAACTGCTGGTTAGCTATGTTTTAGAATTGATAAAAACAGGTGTTAAAAAATGTTTTAAATTTGGTTTTTCCAGAAGCTTCGGAAAATTTTTCTTTTATCTCAAGAAATAGTAGCAAGGGAACGATCACCCACTTTTCTGTATTGTTGCATGTTACCCTAATCGTTTTTGCCATACCTCCCTTTCTACGGTATTCGAAAAACTCTTGTGAGGGGAATGTTTGACCAAATTTTGTGGACTTTTTCATTTTCTCAAAATAATCTCCCTAATCTGAGATTTTGGGTTCAATCGAAAGCACAGGATGTATGACGCTCCCCTGCGTAAGTGGCCATGAACATATTTTTCCCTGAAAATAATGAGTTTTGGAAAAGTTTTGTTTGAATGTTTTCGAAAATTTTCGACTTGTCTCGAAAACGCCCTCCCAAATTTGAGATTTTCGGTTCAAACAGAAGAAAGGGTTGATAGAAGCTCCCCTGTATAATTGGGGACGTCCAAAATTTCTGAGATAAAAGTTATGGATCTCAGAAAAACCAATTTTTTGATTTCTTGTTTTTTTAAAAACTCAAAAACTACTCAGCCAAATTCTAAAAAAATATATTTCACTTATATTTCTTTGAAGCAATTTAGGTTTTGGGTCAAGCCCAATTTTTGAGTTTTTTAGTTTCATCCGGCATCAGTGCAACAAATTAAAAGTTTTTCAACCAGGTACTCCCAGCTTTAGTCGGGCCCGTAGTTTAAACAGTTAATACTATAATTGTAGTTTGTTTTGTAATTTGTCGAATTCTAATGTTGAATATTTTTTTCTTTTTCGCTTTTTCTTCTTACCATTTTTTCAGATTATGTTATATGGGCTGAGTCATTTTAACTTTGACTATATGCGCCGTTTCGAAGTCGAAATATTTTCTTGTGCTTTGTGTTTCAGGAAGGCTGTGTCGTTAAAACTGAGTTTCAAAACATTGTAGCTTAAATTTTTTTAATGACATCTCGGCTTCACGGGATTCGACTCAGATTTTTTTGCCTGACTTGCCGCTCAAGAAATGTTTTTTAGGTTATTTATGAATGTTGCTTCAAACATTGTTTTTTTTTTTTTTAATAATTTTTCAACTCAATTTTTCAACAATAAAAAAACGAGTTCCATCTGTGTTTCTATTCACTATCTTGGATTGTATTTTCGTTTGATCACAAGTGTCGCGAAGCTCTGCTTTCCCTCTGTTAAATAAGCTTTGACTTTTGATTAAGAGTAATGAGCGTAGTGAAGACTCTTATATAGGTCTTGCTGATTTTTTTTTAAAAGTCTCTAATAACTACAGATGTGCATTCATACATATTGTTGCATTTATGAATGCACTAGGTATTATGCACTTTTTGAGTTAAATTAAAATTAATTTGCTGAAAGTGACACAAATAGCTTTCTCCAAATACGAACGGGAAATGGCGCGAAAAAACGTGAACGATTTCTAGCTTCGAAAGTAGAATTTATTTTTCAGATTTCCAGCGGAATAAAAACTTTACCTATTGACCCAGTTTTCTCTAGTTGGGTTCAGGTTATCAAAAAGCGCCAATGATAAATTGTTCTAGAAATTCGAAGAGCTGAAAGGGTATCTCTTTTTTTCTTCGAAATTCGAAAGTTGAGATTTTTCAAGAAAGTCAATGTTTTTTGTGTACTTGCCGTCATTACTCTTTTCCAATCTTCGATTGGCTATGTTTCAGTTTTGACTTCGTTTCAAATTCATCGCCTTCTTGTAAAAAAAGTTTAATTGCGCGAAAAAGCGTAATTGATTTTTTAATTGAAAAAATGGATTTCTGCTATTTTATATGTCCATAAAATCTTTTTTTTCCTGTAATTTAAAATTAACAAAAAAAATGTTGAGTTGATTGATTTCATTGACACTTTAGTGTGCACTTAAAAAGTGGAACATAGTTCTATTTAAGCTGCACTTCACTTCTGTGATGAATTTTCTTTTGACAATTTTTTGAACAGATTTTGCTTTTTATTAAGAGCCGATTAACGTAGTGAAGACTAGTGTATATTTAAGTGATTTTCTGTTTTTTTTTTCAGGAAAATTACTTAAAATGCTCCACTAAAAACTGATGTGCATTCATAAATAGTAAGGCATTTATGAATGCACTTGGGTATATACGCTTTTTTCGAGTTTAATTTAAATTCGTCTGCTGAAAGTTAAGTAAATTACAATTATGAACGTGGAAATGGCGCAAAAAACTAGAACGACTTCTACTTTCGAAAGTGGAATATAAATTTAAGTTTTCCAGCGGAATAAAAAATTTACCTATTGATTCAGTTTTCTCAAATTGGGTTAATTTTTATCAAAGAGTGTCAAAGATTATTGTTCTCTAAATTCAAAGAGCTTTAAGGCCATCTATTTCAGTCTTTGATTTTTTTTCAAAAGTAAGTCAGTTTTTGTTCTGTTTTCTTGCGTTCATTGACTCTTTCCCAACTCTCTTTTGGCTATGTTGCTAGTTATTTTATTTGTTGTTGATGTTTTTCTTGTTGGCTCAAAGCATAGGTTGACCCTAGGTCTCAGTTTACCTGACTTCAAAGTTTTAAGAAAAAAAAACAGATTTTCTCATAGTTTACAAATGACGCTTTCACTTGGGTTGAATATGTTGATTGAGATTTTATGATTTCTAATTGTGATCGAGAAACGGTCGAATTTACTCCTGACAATTTGTATTTTGTTGCAGTTTTTTTCATAGAGTCTTTTTTTCTATATCCGAGCCCTCGCTTACGTTTTGCATCGGAGTTTTTGCAAAGCTCCGCTTCGCCTCTATGTTTGACGGATGAAATTAGCTAGAAAGACCTGGCTTTTGTACTAATAATTGGCACTTAAAAAGTAAAAAATAATAAACTAGATTTAGGCTGAGGGCGATAATGGCAGAGGCAAAAACTTCTGGTTTCAATATTGTTGTATTTGCCCAATCGAGTGGCAGTGCTCGATTTTTTGTCAGCGCTAGTTGAAATGTTGGTTGACTTGTTAAGAGTTTGTTGTTACGCGTTGATCTGTACTTCTGTCTACAAAAAATTGTCAGCTTAGTTGTTCGGTTGTTTTCAGTACTGCCTTTGATAGTGTTTGTTGTGTCGTCTCCATTTCATTGTGCAAAGGGGCTAGCTATTTATTCCCAGGATTATAGGTTGATAAACTATGAACATATTGGTAAAGTTGAAGCTAAATTCGTAGTGATTGGGATGAATCTCGGAAGTTAGAGTTTTATGTCTGCATGTGCAGAATGTTATCTCTGAAACAGAGTTGGAATCTGATTAGTGTATTTGATCAACGTAGGAAGTGGTTGTTTAGGGGAGCTTATTAGACGTGCTGCGAACCCAAGGTCGACAAGTCATCACTCTATCCAAATTGCTTGACTTTGCTAGGTATGTTTTTCATCAACATTATTCATAATAAATTTTCTAGCGGAGCTTTTCCTGCCACTAAAATGTAAATATAAGATAGAGTGACTTTGAAAACTCATTTTTTGGTAAAAACAAGTTGACCAAAAATTGGTTCTATCATTTAGCAGAACTTGGGAAGTTAAAACGGTCTGTCTCATAAAGATGGGCGTTTTTTTTGTTGAAACCTCAACTGCATCTGTGCATTTATGTGTATATCAAAGGTTCTCAACTGGCTTTTCGAATTGAAGTAGATACAAAATTTGGATTTTTCAGTTAACCAGCCAGAGGCCTAACGCGGATGTTAAATATTTACGGTTAACTAAGCTATGGCTAATTTACAAGCGCCTTGTAAATTGCAGCGCAAGTGTGATTTGATCCCGCAATCAAATGATTGCTGGGTTTCATCACTACCGTTGTGCCACTAGATGTGTATTAGTGTTTCTTAGTGTGTGTGTGTGTGTGTTTAGTGGGGTGCTAGATGGCATGTGTTATCTGGAACGGAAGAACATGCAACACAGAGACCTGGCATGCAGGAATGTGCTGGTGGACGATGCCATGCAAGCCAAGATTTCCGACTTTGGCCTGGCACAGTACAGGAGCGCCACCCTAGAGAGCGCCAAGTTCCCCATCAAGTGGTCCGCTCCAGAGGCTGTCAATGAAAAGGTCAGCTGTCAAATTGATTTGACGTTCAGAAAAGATGTTAAGTTTGAGAAGATTTATAAAATTAGATATTTACTTTGAGACCACAGCCTTTTCCAAAGTAACCTCAAACTGGATCATTTCTTTCAAAAACAATAGTATAAGGCTCATAAGACGTCAACTGAGTATATCAAGACTTAATCGTGTGTATGTTTTAGAAGTACACGAATAAATCAGATGTTTGGAGCTATGGCGTCTTTCTCTGGGAGTTGTTTTCTTATGGCAGAGTACCTTACCCTTCCATGGTGAGAACATTTTTCCTACTTGGTGAAACTTAAGTTTATGTGAAGGACAACTTTGCCCCTGTATTTATGTATACTGGGTTTTTGGTCTAGTAATGTTTAAGTGTTATATATTTTACAGCAAAAAGACGAAGTAATGAAACACGTGATGCAAGGATACCGCATGAAGTGTCCTACAGATTGCCCCGACAAAGTCTACTCGATTATGAAGAAATGCTGGACGATTGACGTGATTGAGAGACCCTCGTTTAAAAAGCTGAAAGACACAGAACTCACCGACGAGGAGGTTGCCAGACTAAAGGAAGATGACCGCACCATGCTTCAGATACAGCCTGTGGTGTTAGAGAGACCGGAGAATAATTACGCCACCCTAGACGTCCCAAACTGATGAGTATTCTATCGTGCTCCAAAGTCTTCGAGGTTGGTTGAGACATACTGATTGCTTGGGATGGGTAAATTTGAAACCACCTTAATTTAGAAAAATAAGGTGAGCATTCAAATACAGCTGTAATAATAGTTAGTTTTATATTTGAGTTGTTTCCTCTGGATCTGGGCGTTGTCATCAAAGCTAAGTACTTCTAGACAAATAATTGAGAAATGTATGGAATATTTTACTCAGGAACGGCAGAATTACGACCATGATAGGGTTTAAAAAATATTCGCATTTTAGATGTTTTTTAAAAGTATATAAAAAACTTACTTTTAAAGATGGATGTAAGTTTTTTATGCGGTAAACTTACTTACTTTTAAATATATATATGCAAAATTGATCTAAAAAACATGAGTCGCAAATCGAGAGTGCTCATTGACGAATTTTCTCTGGTCTATCTGTGTAACAAAACCGAATTCAATGCTTTTTTCAGCAAACTGGGGGATAACAATATCTATGCGGATGCATTGGATGCAAAACTTCTTCAGAAACACTCTTTAACTGGCCCAAAATTTGTGCTATGTATGTCTCGATTCTATTTATAGTCTGACAATAAACGTGTGTCCTTATAAAATTCTGGACACTTGTAGTTAATTTTATCTCTTTTTTGTTTTATCAAGGGAAGCCTAGCCAAACTTGTGATGTTGTGCATTTATTTTATCATTTTGTACTAAATAATGTCTGATTGAATGAAAAGTTTTTTTTGCAATAATTGTATGCGATTTGCGTTCAATTCTCTAGAATTTATTTCGATGTAAATAAATAATTATTATTTCTAGCTTATCTTCTTCCTTGGTACTTGGTATTATTATTAACATTTATGAGCATTTATATTTTTTGAATATTTGATGCGATTGTGTTGTTTTATCATCGTCTCTTTTCCACGGCTAAAAGAATGATATCACAGGTTTCAAAGTTGGGATCAATTAAGCAATTTCCCCCTCCCCGTAATAACCAATTGATCTGCTACACCCCCCCCCCCCCAAGTAAAAACGGTAAAATGCTGCAAAAGACATTACAAGCGCAAGATCATGGCTGTTGTGTTCATAATAACCAATTAATAGACCGACTGATGTTTATTTTATGTGTGTCGAGAAAAAATTATGCAAATAAAAAAAAATCATTTTTTTTTAAAAAGGGTTTATTCGTGTTTTTGTTTCGGCGTCCATGCTTCGAGGAAAGCAAGTTACCAGGGGTCATGATCTAACCTTGTATATGAATGCCCATCATTTGTTCTCAGCAGCACCTTATGCGTACGCAATAGCATTTTTTGATTTCATTTACGATAGAAAAAAAATCGGCTTTACATGCATCAGTTTTTGTGATTTTTCCACTCTGAAAGTAATTTTTGATGTAAACTTTGTTGTTCTACATTCGTTGCAGCTTTCATATCACAAAAACTATTTTCAAGTGGTTTTAAACATGATTCGAGTACCTATTGAGCTATCTCTTCCACCCCCTCCCCCCACGCGGAAATGGGGGTGGGGGATTGCTCAATTGATTTTAAATTTGTTCATACATATTTTCATCGAATTGTAATGACAAGCAAAGTTTTTCTATTTAGAAAATCAAATAAGAATGGGGAGGGGTGGAAAAGAGCTGTTTTTATCTGAGCAAACAACCTCGTGCTATCGAAATCAACTCTGCCTGTTTTATCCAATCAAATGAAGTAAAAGATGTGAAGTTGTCATCTTGTCTTGTCGTGGACTTGCCTGCCACATACTTTCCTTCCAAATGCGAGCTCATTGAGTCAATCTATCACAAATAACTGGTGTGTTTGCCCTGCGGCCTATGTCATAATTAATTCCACCGCCAGAGATGAAGTTATTTTTGGATACAAAGTAAAATTTCATTTTTAATTGTAACTGAACAAACACATGCTGTTTTAACATTTGCTAACTCGATACACGATGTTATCTCATTTTAAAAATTATATTTGGTATACATTTTGAAGTTTTGGAATGAGTATCTTTTTTTTTTATACGAGAGTCGTATTTCAATGTTCAGTTACACTTATCAAATCCAATCCTAGTTATGTTCAATTAACGTGTTCCAAACAGTTTTTTTAAAGCATTTTCTTAACTTAGTAGAGAACATCAACCACCAGAAAGTAAGGTGAAGAATTGCTGTGGGGGCAGCTACAGTATGTTTAGACCGCTGTGATTCAATTAAAAATACAAAACAATCATTTTTCCTTAACAGGTTTCGACCATTCGAAGAATGATAAGTAACTTTGGATTCGGGTCGGTTTTTAGGCCAATTTTGACTACCTCGAGGAAATCGAGTGGGGTATCATAATGAGGCCTGTTTGGTCGTATGTTAGATTCTTATGTCTTCTCACGGAGAGGCTCTCCTAGTGTCAAAAAAATTGATCTGAATATTTTCGATTTTCAGGCTAAATAGATGAAATTTGATGAGAGACTGACCTCACAACTTAAATTCTACAAAAGTTTTACGCTATCTTTCTCTTTCAACGCATTTTTACACATCCGCAACCAGCTATTAAGTACAGCCAGTGCTAAGGATATTAACACAGACTATATATTACAAATAGCCCTTTAGCGTCAAGGTATCATGAATTTGTAGCCTAGAGGTAGGAAAGAAGACCCGCAACCAAATAACAGGGCTCGAACCTGGGCATGGTCGGACGTTTTTAATGAGGCCTGTTTGGTCGTATATTAGATTCTTATGTCTTCTCACGGAGAGGCTCTCCTAGTGTCAAAAAAATTGGTCTGAATATTTTCGATTTTCAGGCTAAATAGATGAAATTTGATGAGAGACTAACCTCCCAACTTAAATTCTACAAAAGTTTTACGCTATCTTTCTCTTTTAACGCATTTTTACACATCCGCAACCAGCTATTAAGTACAGCCAGTGCTGAGGATATTAACACAGACTATATATTACAAATAGCCCTTTAGCTTCAAGGTATCATGAATTTGTAGCCTAGAGGTAGGGAAGGAGACCCGCAACAAAAGAAGATGGTTCGAACCTGGGCAGGGTCGGAAGTTTTTAATGAACTTTTTCGTATACTAGTTGAGATGCGTCCGCTATATGAATTGAGGCCTGTTAGTTGATGATTTTTTTTTTCAAATTGACTGGTACTGCTAATACGTCATATTTGGCTTTCGTCGCTTAGCATTTATGTTGACTCATAATTGGCGTGCGTTAGTTAAAATTTTTTGTAGACTCAAAGTTTCACTCAGATTTTCCAGTAGCTTTATTTGTAATATTTTTGCTTGTGAAAGCGAAATGCAACTTCGCTTATGTGTTCAATGTAGTTACCGCTCTTTCTTGTGATCTTTCTCCTAAATCAACCGATCTTTCTAAAAATGAAAAACTAAAAGGAATTTAGGCAACGAAAACTGCAAAAACGATGATTTCTTGAAAATTTTTCTCCAATTTGGTTTGAAATTTTTTTTTTACTGTGGTACGTCATATTAACAGGATATTCGTGTTTTTTAAGAGTAATTAGCGTATTAAGTACTCTTGTATAGGTCTTGGTGATTTTTTTCGGGAAAGAAGTTAAAAAGAAATCAATAGTCAAACAGCAAAAAATCTAATGTTCATCCTCAATTTGGAATTTTTGCGGTTTGACTTCTCATTTAAAAAAAATTTTTTTGGTCTTCTCATTTTTTTTATTTTCTTTGGCCTTCGCGCTTCTTAAAATAGTCGGCATAAAAATATGTCTAATAATCTCAGATAGTGGCGCTTTATGAATGATGCACTAAGTTTCTTTCAATTTGACTCACGATAAAAAATCACAACTGAACTATGCACATCAAAACCTTCTGGATCCTGATAATGTAAATGATCATAGTGGACTGAATTTTTTTCAGCTGGCTTCCATACGGTTCAAAGTAATACTTGGTGGTTTGCCTATGGTATTGATTATGGTTTTACGCGCTATTTATTTTGTCGGCTTTGTTGTCTATTTTTTGCAAGCCTCAAAGTACAAGAGCGTTTTTTATCAACGATTTCGGCAAATTTTTTGGCACTAGCTTTGAATTATTAAATGAAGTAGCTTTTCATGAATTAGGCCCAGGGTTGCATTGTTATTTACATCCCTGTTATTTAACTAGACGTGTATTTATTTACTGTTACAAACTGAAACTGCAGTGTAAGAGAAAGCGTTTTCTACGATGAGATTCCTCCACTCTTACCTGAGAAACCGCCTTGACTTGAAATTATTGGGAAACTGGCTGGTTGTCTATGTGTACTGAAATCTGATTGAATATAATTCATTGTTTGGTACACTGCTTAAAATTTTCAAACTTTCTCTTTTACCGATTTAATTGTTAATAATGTTAAAAACGTCATTTGCTAGGGCGGATTGTCATTAATGCAACCTTGCTGAGGCCGCGTCGTTGATCCGACCACGAAGTTGGGTTTTAATTTTTTATTTACGCAAAACCATGTGACACAAATAATCGTTAGATGGGTTTGAGTGATATATCAAAATACGCGTCTTTCAGTCGTGATATAATCAAAACTGAGTATTCCAAAAATGTTCTACATTTCACATTCCAGTTTAGGCAAACGGGTATGAACCTTCTTCACGTGCTCAAGTTGATAAAATTTTGAAAAACCAATTTAAAATGGTTACGGATCCTTTTTATTTACTTGCACAGCAACCAGCTATTCTTGTTGTTCTGACTTTCAAAGAAAACGGAATAATTATGCTCGGTGTGGGTTTTTTATTCAGTCAATTTTCGCCGATCGAAATAATAGTTGTCAGCAAAAATTTTTTATATTTTATTGAATTACCTCCAAATATTTTTAGTAAAGTTCTGGGGGTTTCAAAATTGCCAAAATGGCCATATTTTGGACTAAATTATGCACGCTTTGAAGAATTTATTCAGATTGCTGAGAGCGTAAGCCGAATTATTTACGCGTGGCAAATTATCCCGCACAACAAACTCGTTACGAATTGAATTGAGGCTAGCTTATCAGATCAGTCGTATTAATTTCATACGACTCAACATTTCACACTTTGATATTGTCCAAAATTTATAGGTTTTCAATCTTTTTTTCCAAAAACTGCAATTTTAACTTCAGAATAACCAGCGGATTGGAGGATAATTCATCAAGATTTTCAGATTATGTTCAATTTGTATCAGAAATTATCAAGTTAAAAAGAGTCAATAAAATTAACAGGTATTGGGTATTCTATGAAATTGTGAAAGGATAAGGTGCTTTCATCTGCGTTACTTGGCTTTATTACTTGCGCAACGTGTTCGTTTGTCTGATAAAACCAAAAAAAAATTTCTCAAACTTAGAATAATTCAAGCTTTTCTGGGTTAAGGCCTTTTGGCTTTGATATAGCCTGCTTTCATTGGTCACCTAAGCTCTTTGTTAGCTGAGTCTAAAATTCAAAATGTCTGGAGTATTTGTGGCTCGATGTCTTGTAATTGAGTTGCTAATGGGTTTTTTCAGCGTTCGACTAAATATAATTCAAAGTTGTTCTCTAGTCTGTGCGAAGCAATTTGCCATTTAGTTTTTGTAAAAGTTTTTTGGATGAAAAATGTCCTTTCGCTTTTTTCTGTAGTTTCGGTTTTTAAAGTCTCAGTCGATCAATGAACCAACCGAGAGAACATAATAAATATTGGATTAAAATTTTCATTTGTTGATTTTTCCGGACTGATAATTTTAAAAAGATTACATAAAAGAAGTAGAAGTATTTATGTTCTTTCGTAAATATAACGCAAAGTTGAAAAAATTCAGGGCATACGCTGGGTATATCTCATATGAATAAATCAATCATATTAATTCAGCGGTATATGAGTAACGACTGACCCTTTTTTTTTTACCAATAGCTTAGATTATGAATATGAACTGAATCAATTTTTCAAAAGACTATTTCCACCTGTGAGAGCAAGTGACTACTAATCGGGAACTATACTTTTTTCCCGTCAACAACTTTTCTTACAACTTTACCTATTACTGCACAGATTTCTTATAGGAGTTTTTACTTTCATGTGCAGGCTGACAACGTTTAAATTATTTTATGGGCAGGCTAACGTCACCTACTTTTTTTAGTTCATTTCTGGGTAGTAACCAACTTTACAAGTTTATCTATTGAAAGTTTTTCTTTTGGGATTTGTGATTTCGTCCCAATTTATGTCGGCTAATTTTCCGTTTTTTTTTCAAACGCAGTTTATATTATATGGTACGCGTTTCAAACATATTTTTTCCAAAGTTTGCTTTTTTTTAATTTTTTTTTTTATTCAAGTAGTGTTTACTATAATTGAAAGTCACTCTGAAGTTAATGAACTTATGAACTGAAAATATAATAATACATTTTCTCAGTTAAATGGCTTCGACTTACGTTTTATCGGCTTCGTCAACTTATTTTGTCTAGTTTCAATGGCAAATTTCTATGCTTTTGAATGTTTCAGAAGAGATTGGTCGTAAAATTTAAAATTCATTAGCTCAAATTTTCTATGTACAACTTTGTTTTCGGCTTAGCGAGGATCGAGTCAATTTTTGTAGCCTTAGTTGCCGCTCGGTCATAGACTTTCAAT